AAATTGTTGCTACTGGAGTGATGAAAACTCACGTAATTTTCGGGAATGGCATAAACAACACCCACAAAAAGGTTAATGTTTGGGCTGGTATTCTTGGAAATACCATTATTGGTCCATTATTTCCGGAAGACTGGCAATCTGTACCTTGGAAAGCTTCAAAAGACTATCGATCCTCTCATAACTCATGAGTTAGAAACTCAAATCTGTTACATTTTCAGCAGGGCGGTGCTCCCCCTCATTATCTTCTTTTCGTCCTACAGTGCTCAAACGGGAGTTTCCGGATGGATGGATTAGCAGAAGCAGAACAGTTCGAAGGCCTCTTGGATTTCTTTTTTTGGGGGCATCTCAAATCCGTTGTTTATGGAACACAACCTTCTGATATTGAAGTATTTGAAAGACGAATTACAGCAACATGCCTGTCAATTTCTAGTGAAGTTTTCCGTAATGTTAGAGGGGAGTTCTAAAACAGACTTTATTACTATTTAGAGCAAAGTGGACGACATTTCGAACAGCTCATGATATAAGCGTAAGTACATTTTATGTTTGAAATAACAAATGAAAAATCCCACGCGTAATACATTTATTGCTGTCATTCAAGGGTTGGAACGGTACTACCTACTCTTCTTACCATTTTTATTGAAAGAAGTCAATAAAATAATGCATCCCAGCGCAGGCAAATTCTAATTACATGTGTAAGATTAGAACGCTATTTTTCGGAAACTGCTCATGAAAAAATAAAACGTCAGGGTATCATTGGAAGCCAAATGCCAATAAAAATGATGTGCCAATTGATACTCCTTCCCATTTAAGATCCTAAGGGTAGCATCTACCTCTCCTTAAGGGTTGAACCACGAGGGCCACAAATAAATATTCCTTGAAAGGTACCCCTTGTTTATAAAAATGACCTGTTTTTTCGATTCCTCATATTATTTACTGGAAGGAAGATATTAAAGGTGAGAAGTTATCAAATTGACATCATGTATTTATTAACGTTGCTGCATTTCCCACTGAATAAGATTTTAATTATTACTATTAATATATTCACATTTATAAATAGTATCAAACAATATTAGGGACACATGTAGGTAGTTGATTATATATGTGCTGATTAGCAATCTAAACAAATTATGTCAGTTCATTCCAAAAATAATCAGAAGGGTCAGTTTTATTCTCCTTGTTTTATTTGACAAAAAGTATTTTTGAATTGATTTGAAAGGGTTATATTTTTAGGAGTGATTAATTTTTTGGGAAAGAAAGTTTTTGGCTTTCTACTACTCCATCTGATACAAAAAAATGGATGAGAGAATCTTCCAAAGAAAGGAAGGATTAATCAATTTGAAAATAAGTAACTCTATACATGGATGTGTAGATCATGCAAAGAAGTAACTTTCAGACACAAACTGAAAGAAAGTCCTCCTGAAACAGCTACTTTCATATAAACATTGAATTANGACGTATACTTTGAAACATATAAACCCACATACAAAAATAATTAAAATAATATTTGGGAACAGCCCTTACTAGGAGCGCATGCTAGAGAGTCTTAAAAATGTCAAAAGTGAATACTAAAAGGTGGAGAAAAAATATTCATAAAGAACATTAGGAAAGTAATCAACTACAGGTCTTTTGTCGAATGTCTGAAACCTAAGATGCAACAGATGTTCTTTATTGTATCTTCCTAACTGCAAGGCAGGGATTTCGTTCTTCCGATTCAGAAAGCAATCGAACGGTGCGGTGCTGTAAATGGCGATGTTGATTTGTCAGATGTCAGCCTCTTCTGTAAGAGCACTATGAACTCCTCCATTTCAACAAGCTAGTTTTTGTATATTCAAGGACCTAATTCTGTGGAGCGCCCAGCATGTTTCCATCAACTCCATTGGTAGCATGATGCGAGTCTTCTCTCCAGCCGTGCCAACGGGTGGTAGAAAAGATTTTTGGCGGAAAGGCAGCATGCTCAGGATGGTGCGAATAGGGCATGCCATTGCCCTATTCGCACGTGCTCACCACTCTCGTAGCAAAGCATAAAGCTATCCCTCAGCTCATGCGTCCACTCAAAGCGTCCGTTATCGTTGCCAGGGTTGTCATCGGTGGGCAAATCTGACCCCACCGAGCGGATCGATTGTGGAGGCCACTTCCTTGATTACTAGTAACCAAGTATTGGATTTGTCGGGTGATTAGTTTCGGCCCACGGCCAGCATCGGAGTGAGAGTCGTGTTCTTCCTCTCAGGTGCGCCTGAACTGCCAGTGTGGTTTTGCACTAGTTACTCGGGTAAGTGGTGGCGCAACTTATCAAAGGCTTCAGGTATTAGTGACCATCCCTGCCTATCATTATTATTATTTCATTATTTTCATTATATTAGATTACATTATTAAATTTGTTATATTATCATCTATTATTATTATTATTATTTTCAACCGTAGTTTGCGCTGGTCAGACCCTATCTCCGAAGCCCCGATACATTCGAGAGGGTGCGCCAGCATTATCAACCAATGACCACTCTGCACACCGTGGGGTAAGAGATCATTGGGTCCGAGAATCATGTGCCTTGAGAAAGCATAGTGAGCCAAGAATGACAGCTGCATCTGTGCGGCTAAGATTTCTGCCTTAGTGCGGCAAGCCGGTATGATTTTAGGATTTGAGAGTAGAGAGGGCATCATTCCGCCAAGGACTCCAACAATCAGAACAACCATCTTGACAGAGTGGTCTAGATAGAGTCTGCGGAGTTCGAAGAGAAAATCTCGATATTTCAGGAACCTGGATCATGCCAGGAACCTCTATATTCATCACGCGACTGCGGTAGACTAAGGTGTTGAGGATACCATCCTGGCAAGCCATGATGAACCCCTCAGCTTCCGACTTCAGCCCACTCGACCTGAGGAAAGCGAACGTCAGGCGCTTTGATAAGCCAAGGTCTNAAATAATTAAAATAATATTTGGGAACAGCCCTTACTAGGAGCGCATGCTAGAGAGTCTTAAAAATGTCAAAAGTGAATACTAAAAGGTGGAGAAAAAATATTCATAAAGAACATTAGGAAAGTAATCAACTACAGGTCTTTTGTCGAATGTCTGAAACCTAAGATGCAACAGATGTTCTTTATTGTATCTTCCTAACTGCAAGGCAGAGATTTCGTCCTTCCGATTCAGAAAGCAATCGAACGGTGCGGTGCTGTAAATGGCGATGTTGATTTGTCAGATGTCAGCCTCTTCTGTGAGAGCACTATGAACTCCTCCATTTCAACAAGCTAGTTTTTGTATATTCAAGGACCTAATTCTGTGGAGCGCCCAGCATGTTTCCATCAACTCCATTGGTAGCATGATGCGAGTCTTCTCTCCAGCCGTGCCAACGGGTGGTAGAAAAGATTTTTGGCGGAAAGGCAGCATGCTCAGGATGGTGCGAATAGGGCATGCCATTGCCCTATTCGCACGTGCTCACCACTCTCGTAGCAAAGCATAAGGCTATCCCTCAGCTCATGCGTCCACTCAAAGCGTCCGTTATCGTTGCCAGGGTTGTCATCGGTAGACAAATCTGACCCCACCGAGCGGATCGATTGTGGAGGCCACTTCCTTGATTACTAGTAACCAAGTATTGGATTTGTCGGGTGATTAGTTTCGGCCCACGGCCAGCATCGGGGTGAGAGTCGTGTTCTTCCTCTCAGGTGCGCCTGAACTGCCAGTGTGGTTTTGCACTAGTTACTCGGGTAAGTGGTGGCGCAACTTATCAAAGGCTTCAGGTATTAGTGACCATCCCTGCCTATCATTATTATTATTTCATTATTTTCATTATATTAGATTACATTATTAAATTTGTTATATTATCATCTATTATTATTATTATTATTTTCAACCGTAGTTTGCGCTGGTCAGACCCTATCTCCGAAGCCCCGATACATTCGAGAGGGTGCGCCAGCATTATCAACCAATGACCACTCTGCACACCGTGGGGTAAGAGATCATTGGGTCCGAGAATCATGTGCCTTGAGAAAGCATAGTGAGCCAAGAATGACTGCCTTCTGCATCTGTGCGGCTAATATTTCTGCCTTAGTGCGGCAAGCCGGTATGATTTTAGGATTTGAGAGTAGAGAGGGCATCATTCCGCCAAGGACTCCAACAATCAGAACAACCATCTTGACAGAGTGGTCTGGATAGAGTCTGCGGAGTTCGAAGAGAAAATCTCGATATTTCAGGAACCTGGATCATGCCAGGAACCTCTATATCCATCACGCGACTGCGGTAGACTAAGGTGTTGAAGATACCATCCTGGCAAGCAATGATGAACCCCTCAGTTTCCGACTTCAGTCCACTTGACCTGAGGAAAGCGAACGTCAGGCGCTTTGATAAGCCAAAGTCTCCAATGTTATTGAAGAAGACCCCATGCATTGGCTTATCCTTGTGTTTCCGCAGAAGTGAGGTGATCTCTGTGGCTTTTATTGGAGCTTTTTGCTGAACGGGTTTCAACTCGGTGACAGAGTTGTGGTCACCTCGTTCAGTGTCGAAAACTTAACCAAGTTCATCAGCTGTTCGGGCAGCTGCCCTAAAGAGAAATGCTCCAATTCCTGTTCTCTCATGCAGAGAAGGGGATCCGAACTCCTGACGACTTTACATGCTATATCCAGTACCATTATGTCATGTAGACAGAACTATTATTATTATAAATTTGTTAGTAGCAGTTGCTTGTTTCATTTTTCAATAAACAATCAATGATGCAGAGATGTTTATACATAATTGTGTATCGCACAGTTGGGCAAAACCATGTTTGGTTTTATCCTCCATGTCTTTTCGTATATTCACTGGGACAGCATCATTACTACTTCCATATTTCTTTTTTACACATTACAGTTGCTAGTTAAAGTTGAGTGTAGAGTTGATTGTATAACAACTACTTAAATAAATTTATAAATCATTAATTTTCAGGATATAAGCGTCGCTTCAATGATATTAAAATTTTGTATACAAAGATGATAAATATTTTTGATTCAAATCTATGTTGTCTGATCCAAACATGATTATTCCCGAGTCTGTGCGATGGCTCCTAGCAAATCGAAAGGAAGCTGAAGCGAAGATGGTTTTAATGAAAGTAGCCAAAATAAATAAAGTACCCAAGTCCAATTCGTTGAAGAATTACCTAGAAAGAATCTCAGTGATTAAGGTGAGTACCAAGAGACTGAATAATTGCAATGATAATGTGAAGTGCGAATGTAAACACAATACAGAAAGAGAGAGGAACATGTCCAGATTGTCCACTGTACACTGGAAAATTTTGTAGGGATTAATTGGTTTTTAAAAATTCTAATGGAATTTTCTTGAGTGTTGATATTTCCAGCCTTCCATAAAAAATAATTGGAACTATATCAACAGAGAACCTGCTCACGTACAGACTGACAAGTTCACTTTGAAAATTACTGTTTCATTTAAACACATTCAAGAGACTTTTTTGTAAAGGAGTCATTCTTTCTTACGGTTTTTCAGTTGTTAAACTTTCACAATCTGAGAAATAAACGAAGCTAAAGAAAAAAAATGTTGAAATTGTTTGAATATCATAATGAACAGATCAATAAATCTAAGTGGTAGAATCGGCCGATACTTGAAAATCCATAACGTATTCACGTTATCCATATCGTATAGACACGCCTGAATCAAAATTGGTGCACATAGAATTCATCTGAGCTTTGAATAATAAGTTGGTGTGAGCTCTGTTGCATAACTCAGCTTTGTTTATTTCTAATTTATAGTATTTATGATTTTTGACCATTAAATAGTCGTTTTCTTTTGACACAAGCCAAATAGTGTGACAGAATGTTTTTCGAGTTTAGGTTTCTACCTCTCGCCTTAGCAATGCCAACCATATTCTTTCAAAAATAATGATATTTGTATCTGTCATATATAAGTATATAAGTACAGGCCGTTTCTTTTATCATGTGGTAACATTACTATATTCTAAACCGTAACAGATACGAAGACGATTAAATGAGAAAAAAGGTAACTGTCATCGGAAACAATACAATGGTCGAATATAGTCTCTGTATAATGGAGTTATTCTAAATACGATGTACACTTGGTGTCATACAGGCTGTCCTATTTGATCTTCTTTTAATTATGTCTTCAGGTAATCAACTGTGACAAATTGAATTGTTACAAGTGTCATACCAAGTTTCGTCCAAATAGAAAATTTGACGATGTTCTTGTCTATATTTAGTTATTTGTTCTAAGTATTTGTTACGCAATTCCACTATTCTTCTGCTTTCCATAACTTCTTGACGTTTTATTATTTCAAATCTATATCCTAGTTTCTTTGTCCAATTCTGAAGAGTTTTGTCTCAGCAACTCACGTTATGGCCGGAAGTATTCAATTTCTTCCTTATGATTTCAGTTATAGGAATCTCATTGCTTTTGTAACAGTCGTATATTATTTTTTCTCAATGATTTTATCAGATGAACATCTTAAGGTTTTGGTAATCCCGTATCACATCGCGTCTTGCGTTCATAAGGTTTGTTTTTGACTATTTTACGTACAGTTGAGAAAGGAATTTCTGTCAAATATGATGCTTGTAATAGTTTGTTTCCCTCGAAACCAAACTTGAGATGTAGATTCTTATATACATTGAAACATACTCTATGTGTTTCAATATTCAAATGCATCCGAATCTTACTCACTAGTATCTCTTTTTCGCATTGTTCATCATCGCTAATGGAATAACTACACTGGAAAAAGTCTGCGTTGTTATCACACTCGTTATCACTATCAGTACTTGTCCAAAGGCGCCACATTTTAAACAGATAACAAAAATTTTGAGTAGTTATAATTGCACCAATATGGAATTTCATCACCCAAATCGCGATCAGTTCCTGAACTAAACACGACGGCGATAACGAAGGCCGCATTCCCCGATTCTTATACGTCACCATGACATGACTTCAAATTCAATTTTATGATTCTTCAGCCAATCATAAAACTCGGTTACTAAAAATTATCCAATACGAACCGCCAAGTCTACAGTCCACGTAGACTAGTTTGCCCCCGGTTAATTTCTATGTATTGGTTTTTTTGGCCTTTGAGAGTGCCGACAACTTTAAGAGTGCTCAAAATCGTTTACTTCGACTATACCTCACTTAATTGGTTAATGATAAATGGAATAACAGGTAGTATTTGAAGAACCATTACACTTTGCAATATTTCGAAACTTTATTTCGAAATATGTACTTATTTTCTAATTAGAATATATGATGAAACCAGGAAAGTTACACCTCGTCTCAAACATTTTGCCAAACTCGCTTGAGTAATTGCTAAGTGGCAATGTAAAATGTTTATCACTCTATATGAATTTGATGTATATTCCTGCTTTATGTTAGAAGTCAATACCCATGGGAGATTCGAAAAACCAAATGATATACAAGGTGCGCCATTAAAAAACGCCACTTAGGTCATTATTCTGTCTAGTGAAATTATTCTGAGTAACATCGGGAATTGAATGAATTTTTAAATTTTGAAACAATTGACATCAATTTCATATAACAAGATCGAACCTACTAGAACATTCTCATCAATCGCTATTTCTCCGACTAGAACTCCTACTAGAGCAGTAACTTCTAGAATCATTAAAAGTAGATAAACTTGATGCTTCTCTCACCATTGTACAGGATCTTACTAGCATCATTCGCAATAATATATGTTATGTATAGTTTGTTTACTTTCTCATTTCAGTTCGAAAAATAACACGTGAATTACTAACTAACGGACGCAAAGTTTTTTCATTGAAAACTATATAGTGATAATTCTGAATATATACTCATAAATGTGAATATCATCAAAATTTCATTCTGTTTTAGGTTTGGAAGAAAATTAATATTCATCTTTTGTATATTTCTAATGAGCGTAACTGGTACGCTTCAAGTACTCTCTCCTAATTATATGACTTTTGTTCTGTTTATGTTCATCACTTCTGTGGGTACTGCGGGAGTTTACCCTCTAGCATTTGTTCTAGGTGAGTAATTAAATGTACAGAATAATTAAAAAAATATAGCTTTAACCAATTTATCGAAAAGAATTTCGAGTAACATTATCTGATTATTTCAATGAAACATGATATTATGAATATAGCTGACAAAATTTTTTTACTGGTATCAATATCACAATATCCCTGGTATCAGCAATGTAGAAAATTACCGCTGCAAATCAAAAGAGTGATTAAACCGTCTTTAGTAAGCAAATGATGATGATAATTAAAACTAAAATGGATTCCATCTCTCCGTTGGCTCTTAGGACACCGTATGGAAGAACACACACAGTAATAACTTTACTAAAGTCGCATTTCGCTACACAGTGGCTTCCTCAGTCGAACTGTTTCATTAAAGTAGTCTACAATGCATTTTATATAACAGTAGTTTATATAGAGAAGTTTAATGTAGCAGTTTGGCTGAAGAAGCTACTGTGTAGCGAAACGCGTCTTTTTTCAGGTTATAAGTGTGAAAACTATTTCATTATCATGAATTCTATTATTGATTTCCATCAAATAACGGGCCAGTGCATAAAAAATATAAACAGGAAGATTATTGTTGATACCATCTATTAAAAAGTGAATTTTATATCATACTGGCGAGCCGCTCCGGCTCCGCACGGGTGCAATACTAATACTAAATATAAATTCACCCACCGGGAATTTAGGAGCATGGGAAAACAGTGATGAAATGTTGATCTTATTTTATGATGCGCCCCTTTTATCTCCAACGAGTACGCCCTAGTTGGAATATTTGAAAATGATTTCATATTGCACATCTACAATATAAAAGAAAACCTACAAACAAAATTTTAACCTCCGAAAAAATAGCGGTGCGGAGAGACAGTGATGAAAAAGTTATTTTCATATGTAAAGGTACTGAAGTGAACATTTTCAGATATAGTTATTTCGTTTCGAAAATCATAATATAAATTCTCATCTCGTGGTCGATTTAGATGATATTACAAAATTGTGAACAAAATGCAACACTCGATGTATTTTCATCAACTGAGTCGGTGTCATGAGGAGCAAAACGAGACTAGACTAGATTCAGTCTAGTTCATCTCCTTGTGACGCTAACTTGGTTGTTGAAACGACTGTCTGAATAACATACATCCCACAGAAATTTTCTTCCTTTTCAGTAACTTTTTCAAGGGCAATTTCTGTACAGATTACTATCAGTTTTGACGAAATCAAACGCGCACCTCTGGAACAAATTGAAAGATTTTATTAGTTAACTGTTTACGTTGATTTTGTTTTTTATGGCTTTCGATCATGTGAATGAGTTTTTATCTACTCTAGCCTCAGAAAAAAATCAGCGATAATATTTTACGATCAACTACTATTTTCCAACCCCCGTACCAGTAAATATCGTCTTCAACGCCGAAAGTTCAGTGTTTCGCAAAGTTTTAAAAATTATCTCAGAAGTAATGAATATCTTTTAACGATTTACAATTCTACATGGAAAACTCAATTTTGCCTTGTCCGAACGCGATTTTCTCAATATCAATGAAAGTGTTCGTACCTCACTGAAATTTTGGAGAGTTGATTGTTCTATGGTTGAAAGAACAATTATTGAAGATTATGTAACGAAAAAAAAAACAAAGAAAACATCTTCCGAAAAAAAATTTAAAAAATTATAGTACATTTAGTTATTGTACAAGTCATTGAATTTTTGGCGAAAAATGGCTTTCACGAATGGAGAAAAAATAAATATAATACAAATTTATTACAAATACGATAGAAACAGTGTTAGGAACTTTGAACAAATAACAATAATTGACTGAAATGTAAAGACAAAAGTGAATCACAGCAAATTCTCAAAATGCTAGCCTCGTTTGATAACACAATTGTGCCCTTTTTCGAATATGCACGATTAATTGTTTTCCTCCTCAATCTTCCGAACTCTCTAATAATGCTGTGAGACCTTGCTGGCCACCTCATCGGCCCATTATGTCCTATCCATTCATCACCAAACCTTTCAGTCAGGTAATTAGATACTCGTCTGGTAGTGTGCGGTGGAGCACCATCATGTTGAAACTAGATGTTGTTATACTTAGCCAACCAATATTGTGAACAAATAGCTTCCCTTTCAGCATCTGAGAATTTAGTCTGACATTTGAAACGACATTTTTCACAATTGACCGCTCGGGGT